ATCAGTTCTCTCCTTCCACCATGTGGGTCCCAGGGATTGCATTTATGTCCTCAGGCTTGGTGACAGGTGCCTTTATCCATTGAGCTGCTTTCTCTCTTTCTCTCTTTCTTTCATTTATTTATTTATTTATTTTTAGTTATTTTTATTTTTTGTGTATGAGTGTATTGCCTGCATGTTTGGAAAGGGCTTATGTCACCTTACACTTCCACGACTCAGTCAGTCGTCTTTAAGAGAAGTCAAACAGGAACTCCAGGCAGGAACTGAAGCAGAGACCATGGAGGAACGCTGCTTGCTGAAATGCTTGCTCAGCTACCTTTCTTATAAAACCCAGGCCTACCTGCCTAGGGATTCCTGGGTCCCCAGGGGGCTGGGCTCTCCTACATCAGTTATCAATGGGGAAAAGCCTCACAGACATCTGGGAAATTCTTCAGCTTAGGTCCCTCTTCCCAGGTGACTCTAGTTTGTGTGAAGTTGACAGAAACTAACCAGCACAGGGTGGGTGGAAGTGGATAAGAAATCTAGCTTCACCGTTCATCTCATAGTATTCTTTTTTGGTTCATAATTGAAGAATTTGGCATTTTAACGTTACCAAATACAGGGTTGGAGAGATGGCTCAGTGGTTAAGGGCACTGGCTGTGCTTGCTGAAGAGTTCAGTTCTCAGCACCCACGTGGTGGCTCACCACCATCTGTAACTTCAGTTCCAGGGGATCCATCGCCCTCTTCTGGCCTTTGAGGGTATGAGGCATGCATATGGTACACTTCCATGTAAACAGCACACTCATACACATAAAATTAAAAAAAAACCAAAATCTTAAAGTTACCAAATAATAATTGTATTTGTCACTTTATGAAGTAGTTGATAGTGGCACACATCCACACACACAGTATTTATTTGAAGGTTTGTGTTGTTAAAACAATTCCTTTTAAGACTTGACTTTTGCAGAAGGCTCCAGAATTTAAAGTCATGCATTTTTTACTCACTCAGACTAATTAGAGAAAGCAGGATTCTTCTATTGCATACTTTGCAGTGTATTCAGAATGTGGATGTGCTTTAAAGTAGACCGCTTACTGCTTGAGTCCTAGAACATTAAGTGGTAAAAACATATAGGCCGCTTGCAGATAGAAGCTTACTACTGTCATTCAGTATGTGGAAAAGAAAAATTTGATCATAAACAGTGACAGATTAGTAATTGAATTATCAGAACTGATCTTTTTTTAAAAGTTTTTGAGACAGGATCTCCCTGTAACCCTTATTGGCCTAGAACTTGCTATGTAGACCAGGCTGGCCTCAATCTCACAGAGATTTGCCTGCCTGTGCCTCCCATGTGCTGGGATTAAGGGTGTGTGCCATTCGCCCCCCCCCTTATTTCTTTAGTGTGCAAATAATGGGTTTCATTATGACATTTAAAAAAATTTTATTATTTTTATTTTATGTGTATGAGTGTATTGCCTGCATGTATGTGAGTGCATCCATGTTGTATAATGCCGTGGAGGTCAGAAGAAGGCTTCGGATTCCCTTGGAACTGGAGTTAATGACGGTTCACAGCCGCCATGTGGGTGCTGGGAATCGAACCTGAGTCCTCTGCAAGAGCAGTCAGTGATCTTAACCACTGAGCCATCTCTCCAGCCCCATTATGATATTTTTGTATATGCATATCATCATACTCAAAGCATACTTCAGTCATAAGCTACATGGAATTGCCAAAATAAAGTACATATACCTTTTGTGGGTACCAGTGCTTCTTGATTTACCATGCTATGTCATTACTTCTATCATTTTTCTTGCAAGAGCCATGGTAACTTAAGGAAAGAAAGGAGTTTCTTGGATGTTGGAGCATTCTCAACATTGTTTTTTAAATTTAATTTTATTTATTATTTTTATTTTATGTGTATGCATGTATTGCCTGCATATAAGTAAGTGCACCTGTGTTGTGCAATGCCCACAGAGGTCAGAAGAGGCTGTTTGATCCCCTGGGACTGGAGTTAATGACAGTTGTTAGCTGCCATGTGGGTGCTGGGATTCAAAACGGGGTCTTCTGCAAGAACAGCCAGTGTTCTTAACCACTGAGCCATTTCTCCAGCCCCTCAACATTGTTTTAAGGCTTGGAGAAACCTGGATTTGAAGATAGGCAGGAACCAGGTCAGAAGCCCACTGCGGTGGAGTTGGGGCTGGAGTTTGGGCAGTTTATTGCATGTTAGTAAATGGATCCTGCAGCACTTTCACTAACACCATGGACACTGGACCCTGCTGCTGCTGCCCATCTTTGGGAAACTATTATTGGAGACTGGTTCTCTTAACTATTCTTTGTGATGTTAGCATCTGATTTGGATTTCTCAGTGGATATCTTAGATTGGCTGAGCTCAGGCCATTACCTGCACCTTAGCTGCCAGGGAAATTGTGAAGGTGTTGTCTTTTTGGCTTTTAAGATAGGAGGCAGTCTGTACTTCTCACATTCTCCTAGTGGGAAAACACATAAACGTAGAAAAAGGTTATGAACAAATGACTTGAATCTAAACAGATGGACTGTTCATGCTGGTTGATAAATACTTGCTTAGTAGTTCCTTACAAAACATACACATAAGCCAGGTGTGGTGGCGCATGCCTTTAATCGCAGCACTCGGGAGGCAGAGGCAGGTGGATCCCTGTGAGTTCAAGACCAGCCTGGTCTACCTAGTGAGTTCCAGGCCAGCTGGGGCTACAGGGAGACCCTGACAAAAAAAGCCATACACATACAGGCACATGTACATGTACACACACACACACACACACACACACACACACACACACCTTTCTTGTGCTTACTTTGGATTGTGGGCTGTATGTATACCATAACTCACCTGTGTTAGAGTAGGCACTTCAGTGAGCACTCTCATTTCTGAGGTCGTAGGTTCTGAAATGCCTAGCCGGGAATCACTGCAGCCTGAAAATATTGTCAGGGAAATACTGGTCCATCCTTTCATGAGGTTTGCCACCATTATTGAATGCCTGACATTGGAGGGTAAGTTTCTATATTCTTTTCTTTGTAATTAAAGTTGTTTTTTTTTTCTTTTTTTATCAGCTATCACTTGTGAAATCCTTCAGAATAAGAAGGATTTTTGTTTTGGTAGCCCAACCTAGCACATATAAACCCTTTGTAATATGTCAGGAAGAATTATTTTGCTAACTGTCCTTAACCTTTCTATCATTTGAATTATTACATAACCATTAATGTGGTCTTTGTGATGTTGAAGAGTGTTATAAAAATAGAACAAAGATCAGATATTTATTATAATTACTTCTTTAGTATCCATAAATAATTGTTGTAAGGTTCAGTTTGCTTTCCTTTTCCTTTGATCAGTGCTTTAGTTCTGCATATTTATGTATTCATTTATTTAATTTAGACAGGGTCTCTTGTAGCCCAGGCTGGCTTGCCATTAGCTTTGTAGCTCAGGATGGCCCTGGACTCCTGGTTTTTCTGCCTCTAACTCCCAAGTATCAGATTATAGGCATGTGCCACCACACTTGGCTTTTATTTTCTTGAATGGAGGTATTCGAATTTGCTTCATGGTTTACCTTGTTCTTCTCATTAAGGAACAGCTTCTGGTTTTTCATGTAAGTGGAAAAGAAAGTCTTCAGCTAAGGATATAGCTCAGAGGTAGGGTGATTGCTTAGTATATGAAAGGTCCCAGATTTGATTCCCCCCAAAGTCAGAAATGATGCAGTTGTGACATGAAATGATTTATAGTATCCTTCCCCTGCTTTTGTACATGTTTAGTTTGCCATTGACATAAAATGAGTTTTGTGTACTTTCATCTTGTTTTCTTTAATGTAGGATGTAAAATCCCATTGTGATTATTCTGTAGGTCTTCTCATTCATCAAGGTAGTAGACCCAAGTCTAACCTTTATATTCCTAGTACACAAAGCACACAGCAGATGGTGTAGCTAAAATTCCTTCTGGGAGGCACAAGTGAGGTCTGG